CTCATACTTGCTTTTATTAGTAGTAGTTGTAGTCGTCATGAAAGAAATAATAGCCTTCAAATGGAAGTTTAAGTTTGGTAATCTAGTAGGGTTATCAAAACGTGACACAAATCAAACATTCTTATATTTGAGCTTCTTTGTCTTTGAGCTTCTGAATTTTGCAACACTGTTATTTTCCTCAAACACAGTTCAATAGTAGAGTGCGAATCACTGGGAATAGACAGACAGACAGACAGACAGACAGACAGACAGACAGACAACTTCAGTTCAACCTTACACTTTTATATGATTTTATTTATTGAGAAAAACAGGAGCAGTAAGGTGGGATGTAAAAACGACCATTTTAATGTGATTTAATGCTATTTTAATTTTATGTTAGATAATTCTTCAACTATTAAATTGCTTTCTCTGCAGAACATGGGGTTTGCACATTTGGTAATAATAATAAAAAAAAATTAAATATAAAATAAATATTTTTCTTTAAACAAATAAATAAATAAAATTAATTAACATAAAAATTAAATAAAACAATGAATCAAAATGTAACTATAAATAAAAATAAAAAGGACTCTAACTTATATCCTGTTATTTGTGGGAAGTGCCAGTAAATAAAACCAAAAATTACATCATAAATCACTGCATTAAAAGGGAAAACCGTTAGAAGTGTGTCACATTTTTAGACATGCAGGTCTATATTACCCTGCTTATCAGGACAAACCAGATTAAATCAACTACAGAAATTACACCTGGGCATCATAACTATAACCATAATCATAATCATGTGATAAAGCCAGTATGTCGACGAGTTTCTCACACTCACCTTCATGAGCTCTGGAGTCTCGGACACACAGCCCAAGCTTTCGAGGCCTTTTTAATTAAATCAGAGCTAATTACACACTACACTGACTCAGACTCTCTCTCTCCGCCTGAAAAGTTAGTATTTGGCGTGAGATGCTGCACTGATCTATTTTGGGGCTTGTGTTCAGAGCTCTGAATATATTACCCGTTCTGAGGGATTTCACGCCTGTCAAACACACACAGCCCACACGAGAGCACTGCATCATCTCACACACAAACCTACTGAACACCTGAATTACATTTACAATGGAGTCTGCTGGCAGAAACACGTCTGTCGTCATTTAGTCATTCGCTCTTCTGGAGTCATTTGTGACCCTGGAGCACAAAAGCAGTCTTAAGTCGCTGGGGTATATTTGTAGCAATAGCCAACAATACATTGTATGGGTCAAAATTATAAATTTTTCTTTTATGCCAAAAATCATTAGGATATTAAGTAAAGATCATGTTCCATGAAGATATTTTGTAAATTTCCTACCGTAAATATATCAAAACTTAATTTTTGATTAGAAATATGCATTGCTAAGAACTTCATTTGGACAGTTTTAAAGATGATTTTCTCAATATTTAGATTCCATTGGATATAAATAATAAAATAAAATAAAAATAGAAATAAATGAAAATAATACATTTTAAATTATTCCTAAAACAGGCTTCATTTTATTTTTTTATTTTTTTGATTTTCTGAGATTCTCTCTTTCCAAATGTAATTTTTTGAAGAACGTGAGGCAACCACACAGACATCAGCTTCATGTCAGATGAAGAAAAGCGTGATGATCACAGTCGCTCGTTTCCTTCAGCTAGACGAGTCTGGTGAAGTGCTTTACTAGTCTTTCTTCTGCAGGTTGTGATGTTAAGCAGACCAATCAATCACAAGCATCAAATCACTGTCATTCTTCCTTCTAGAAGCACAGTGATGATGTTCTCGCACAAACAACGTCTCCTTGACGACAACAGCGATTCACCATAGAAACAGTAAAGAGTCAGCACAGATCTGTAATAGAACAACTAGAGAGACGCTTTCGCTTCGTTACACAACCGAGTGAGCCGCTTCACTGCCTCAAACCACGCAAAAACACATTTATGCATTTGAATTGCATATAAAAGTTCAATACATAATTGTGATGTTTTGCATTGTGGCATTATTGTTATGTTATATATTTTCGCTTTACCATCTGCCGACTCTGATGAAACCTTGCAAAAAATATGTAGGCCTAAATTTAAGGTTCATGTTTTTGAATAGCATATAAAATTTCCATAACAACAACAATAATAACAATTAATAATAATAAAAACATTTATAGCTCTTTTAAAGGAGCTTTTTAAAGCACTTTGCTCTATTGTTAATTGTGATCTTTTGCACTTTCATTATTGTCATGACCATTAAGCACAAAATAAATAAATAAATAAACATAATACATCTTAAAATATTCCTACAATAGACTAATATTTAATATACATTAATATGAATATAATGGCAGACTATATTAATCCCATAACTATTTGCAACTATTTGATTTTTATTTAAATATTAATAAATACATTTATAATAATAAATAAATAAATCTGGTCGTTGTGAAAACTATTAAATTAATTCCGTTAAAACAACATTCCGCTGTGGAACAAGCAGTATTCAATTAGTTAAAATGCATGAGATTGAAACGAATCGGATTTATTGATAAAGCTGGTTATTGTGTATTTAAAACACACTCAGTTTATTCGTACTATTACAGAAATCTGACCCGTTTCATTTATATATGACTGACAATTATGCATCACTTCACATTTTTTACGTTAAAACGGTGTAATCCAAATGCATGGAAATTTTTATATGCAATTCAAATATCTAAATCTTAAATTTAAATTTTATGCATTTTTGAATGTTCGCAGCAATGCATTCTGGGATGTCCTTCTCTATAATGCTTCCTTACAGTAAGGCAGCATGAACATGTAGCCTAGTCTTCTGAATGCTGTCTAGATAAGCAGCTCACTAGGATTTGAAACGGAGCTTCTTTGTCTGTTTACATCGCACATTTCAACGGCAGAGCAGAAGTTAGACAGAAGCAGGCCTTTTTTTGTGTATTACTAAGTTTTCGCTAGTTGATATTCACAGTATATATTAAGCATGAGGAGCTGATGAAGTATGGATGGTTTAAAACTGCTGGTGAATTTTCATGTATTTGGAAGTTTTCTACTGTAGAAATGATTGGGACATTTGTGGGACTCTCAAATACATCTATGAAAATAAATATATGGCAAAATACTGCGTTTGCACACACTCAAACACGCGATATTCTCCTGCACGGAGTAACACACACTCACTATGGCAATGTCTGTTACCCGGAGTGATAAATGTACCTGTACCTGGTAAAGGTATGAATGCAATGGCCACGTAAACACTGCAGAGACTGGGGACTGACAACCAGTTCGGTTCAGTATCGGTTGTAATCAAACATCATCAGAACCACATTAAAGTCCCGTAAGAGGAGTGACTCCGGATTGAAGTGCAGTGTGAACGCGGCCAATCAACACGCGCTCCGACTCAAACCAGAGGCCTCATTAATCAAACACACATCTGATCTGAAACTTCATGGATTTCACAGTCAAAAAACAAAACGAAACAGAAACTGACGTGAAAATGTGTACACCAACCGAGGAGCATTTGAACAAACCTCTTGTGCACAAATAAAATTAATCTAAAACCGATTATAAAAATAAAAAGATAAATAGGCAATAACTTTATGCATTTATATTGTTATATGCACAAATGATAATGTCATTGAAATTAATTCATTAATTAATAATTCCTGAATTATTCCATATGTTTATCTTATAATCCCCCCCCCCACAGGAAATCATTAATACAGTGTGTCTATATATATTAATGCATACATGTTAAAATGTTATATATGTTTAACGTTTACATTTTTATGTAAACGTATAGATGTGTGTGTATACAGTATGTTTAAAAAAATTATAACATTATAAATAAAAGTATTTTTGGTAACACTTTATTTTGATAGTCCACTTTAGACATTCTACTAACAGTAAGTAACTTTGCAACCAGTGTTAATTTCTTTTTTTGTGTCGCATGAACGGAGAATTACACACAAAATGATGTTGAATTGTCCGTTTTAACGAGTGTTCACGTAAACACAGTTGATTATGTCTTAAGTGAGCGTAAACAGCAGGGAGAACGTGTATCAGTACATTGCATCCATTGCAGCTGTGCATTTGGTTTTAAAGGGACAGCAACCCAATTTAGTTGCTATTGTCATATGAGTCATTGATATTAATCAAGCAACAAAAGAAAGCCAGAAAATCATGCACTGCTCTTGACTGAAAACCTTTAGTAGCCCTAAAGATTCATCTAAATTTATTTATAGAAATACATATGTCTGCTTGAAAGAATGAAGAATATGGTAAAGTTTCTATAAAGAATGCATAATAAGCATATATAACCATTGGTATTTCATTAGATTTTAGCCGACTAAATTTACTGTAGATTTAGTCGACTAAAATCGTATGATATTTAGTCGACTAAAACTAGACTAAAACTAAAAACAATTCAGATGACTAAAATATGACTAAAACTAAATCAAAATTTGCTGTCAAAATTAACACTGTTTGCAACTACATGTCAACTAGCAGTTATTAGAGTATTAGTAGACTGTCTGCTTAATATATTCTAACACTTTATTTTGATAAGTCCACAACATACAACATACTGACTGAGAAACTTTGCAAGTATATGTCAACTTATTCTATTAACCCTAAACCTAACCTAACAGTCTACTCTGAGAGTTAGTAGACATGTAGTTGCAAATTAATGAGAATTAGTTGACATGTAGTTGCAAAGTTACTTTTAGTTAATAGAATGTCTAAAGTTGATTATCAAAAAGTGTAACCGTATTTTTTATTATAACTGCATATGTTTTCTGCAACATTTTAACTGCTTTATGTTTATACAATAGTTATGTCACTGAAATAAACTAATTAATTAATTATTCATAATTTCCCTAAAACAAAAACCAAAAATAAAACAAAATACCCTAAATAAAATAAAATTCCCTAAAATAAAATAAAATAAAACAAAACAAAACAACAATAAAATGGTATTCCATAAAAAAATTATTTCCTTGCCCATTGATGATGGCTGTACATCTTTTATATAAAGATACATTTGTGGGCTTCAACTTGTATATATGTGTATTATAAATGAGGCCCCGGGTTTTTCGTTCTCGCATTTGTACGATCCGCAGAATCATCCTGTACGACGAATGATGCAGGAAAGAGCTTGGGATGGTACTAAAAAAAGTTATTTTCTTAAATCCTAAGAAGTGTTGGAGTTCGGTCGAACTACACGGTAGTTTCGTTTCTCCAGGGTCCGGTGCGTATATTCCCCGTGATGTCGGACGGATACAGCGTGTTTCCCTTCAGGATGCTGTTCTGATTGGCCAGCGACTGTCTGCGGGCGTGCAGCTCTATATGCGCGTGATGCAAATCGTCCTCCGCGAGTTTCCCACACAGAAAGCTCTCGCCCGCGTCGAGGAGCTCGTCTTGTGCGCAGCACATGTGATGATGGTGGCAGAGCGTGAGCGCCTCGTGAGGGCAAACTTCGTGAGCTAAGTGGCAAATGTGGGCATGTGGGCTGTTAGCGCGTGAGCTGTGCGCGCTAGTGGCGTCCGCTCCAGAGGGAATGCGCAACGCTAGTTCGCGTTGGCGCCTTGTTTTAGTCCTGATGGGTTTGGAGCAGCGGTGCAATCGCACGGCAGGTCGGTAACCGTCATGGTCGGCGTGGAGAAGCACATGGGCGCTTGTTTCGTCTTCTAGGAGCTGTTGCGAATGCAGAGCGGCGCAACACGGTGAAACCGGTGTCAGGCAGGTCACGTGATTTTGCGCGGCGGCGCGACATGCGCAGTGAACAGGTTTCCCACTATCTAGATGGCAGTGGGAGTGGGCGTCGCCATTTATGTTGAGTTTGTGGGCGTGGCCGTGGGTGTGGGCGTGGCATGCGTTGGAGGGGCGTCGCCCGGGACAGCATGCGCACCAGCAGTGCCAGACATCATCGCGTTTTGCGCAATGATGAATCAAAACGAACAACCCGAGCGTGACGGAAAACGCCCCGTATAAGCAGCTGAAGATCATATCCAGAAAGTGGCCTTGCGGAACGGCAAGCGCGCCGAATGTCCACGTGGCTGTGAATAAAAACAGCGTGAACGCCGCCGTCCGCAGCTGGGCTTTAAACGAGTGTTCGTTGGCCAGCGTGGATGGGTTGATGAGACCCGGGCAGCCGCCGTGACACTGACCGCTCGCCGGCTCCCCCTGGTGGACGTCAGAGAGCCGCTGCTGCTCCTCGCTCACCGCCTTCAGCTCGTATTTCCGCTCGGGGTGTTTGCGCAGCTGGATGATGGTGCACAAGAAGTAGACGCAGGTCACTAGGACGATGAAGCCCACGGGGCCGTAGAAGGCGCCCAGACTCGGCTCCCACGCCATCCAACAGCTGCAAACACAGGAGATAAACATTTCTGAACATGTTTGCATGCATGCTATTTTATTAAGGATCATTAAACACAAAGGAAAATCAGTTTTGTCAGAAATCAGATCAGAGCGATGTGTAAAACCCAAAGCCAACGCAGAAGACAGACAAAATTAGAAAAAGATGAGAAAACGTGTATGATATCACTCCAGAAATGCTAGAGTTTGCTTTAAATGTCTGTGACATTAAACCAGATGTTATTTAGATATAGTTAGACATAAACGTTTAGTGTTAAATATAAATAAATCTAAATCTAAATTGATGCTAAGTTGAAGTTCAAGTACTAAAATACTAAAACTAAAATAAAAACACTTTTATTGTTTAATTAAAATACTTTTTTTGTTTAAAAAAAACTAAACCTGAAATATAAAAACAAAAGATATTTCAAATTATTAATTAAAAAACTATATTTAAAACTGTAATAAACATGCCTGAAATCAATACACAATCGAATTTAAAATATTAATAAAAACTAACAGCTGCAAACACAGGAATAAACATTTCTGAACATGTTTGCATGCATGCTATTTTATTAAGGATCATATTCTGGTTACTCAACATTCAGATTTTAGCAATATGACAGTACTGACACTGACATCGGATTAGAACAAAACTTGAACTGAACGAAGATGAATAATGACACTACTGTATTTTGTAGAGCTGCTTTATAGATTAATTGAATTTGTTTCATAATTGATACATTTTGCAACATTGATAAATATACAATCTGCAATGATACAGATAAATTAAATTAATGAAAATGCAAAATAGAGTTGTTATTGTTAACTTAAAAATTGTTTTCTGTAATTGAAATAAAGCTAAAATAAAATAAAATAAAATTAGATGAAAAACTTAAACCTAAAAACTTAACCCTAATGACAATGAAATAGAAATGTTGCCTTGTCGAGTACTAAAATGATTAAATCTGAATTGAAAATAAAGCTATATAGAAATATTAAAAAACTAATAAAATTATAAAAGCAAATCACAAAATTACTGAAACTAAAATTAAAATTAAAAATTAAATTAAATTTGTTTCATAACTGATCAACTTTACAGATTGTTTATTTATCAGTGTTGCAAAGATACAAATAAATTAATTAAAATGCAAAATAAAAGCGTCTTCAGTGTTGTTGTTTTTAACTAAAACTTAAAAATTGTTTTCAGTAATTGAAATAAAACTGGGGGAAAAAAATTTTAGATGAAAAACTAAAAACTTAACCCTAATGAAAAAATAAATGTTGACTTTACGACGAACTGAAATAAGTTTTAGTATTAAAGTTGAAGTATTAAAATTACTAAATCTGAAATAAAATTAAAGCTATACAGAAATATAAAAAACTAATAAAAATTACAAAAGCACATAGCAAAATTACTTAAACTAAAATTAAAATGAAAATTGAACATAAAAATAATAGTACATAAATAACTAAAATCTTCACTAGAGGTCTCAGACTTACGGACCCTTTTATGCATGCAAGAATGCAACCAAATATTACATAATAAAAGTTTAAGAATCAGTCATAGTGACTGAGCATTACTCTGAATGGAGGGTCGGGTCCCATTCAAAGTCTGTGGTGGTTACAGATCTACATGCATGCATTATTCAATTCATTTGAGCAGTTTGGCCATATTTAATATGTAGTAAGATACTTTAAGTGACTCATATATATGAAAGAGTGTCAAACAAACTTGTCTAAGAACACATCGGACTGATTTAGCTGCTACTCACAACGGCGTCTGCTCTCCGCTGCCATAGTTCTCGATGCTGATGGCTGCTGTGATGCCGCAGATGATGAAGGGAACTCCTGCACTCACTAAATAAAACCTGCAGACACAAAACAAATGATCACATTCTCTCCTGCCTCATGCGGTTTCAACATGATGATGCTAAAAATACAGCGTCGGGTTTCATCAAACACTGGAGTAACAGTGATGAGAGAGTGTTTCTGATGGATTTATTTGACCTGTCAGGACTGTTTGAGAGAAGCATTAAACACAAAGGAAAATCAGTTTCTACAGAAATCAGATCAGAGCGACGTGAAAACCCAAAGCCAACGCAGAAGACAGACAAAATTAGAAAAAGATGATAAAACGTGTATGATATCACTCCAGAAATGCTAGTTTGCTTTAAATGGCTGTGACATTAAACCAGATGTTATTTAGATAGTTAGATAGAAACATGTTTATAATGTTAACTAAATATACATTTTAGATGGAAAAAATTGTTGCTAATACTAACTGAAATTAAATTGAAACAAAAACACTTTTATTGTTTTATGAAAATACTTTTGCTTAAAAATGAAACCTGAAATATAAAAACAAAATATATTTAAAAAAACATTTATTTATTTAAAGAAAAAATGTGATAAACATGCATTTGATTATTTTTATTAAGATTTTTACTGTATTTTACTACTTGCATTGAAATTAAACAAACTAAAATACAAACAGACTATTTGGAAATAAACTAAAATTAAAGTGAAACCTGAAATCAATACAAAATCTAATTCAAAATATTAATACAAATGAATAAAACTAATAAATAAAAACTATAATAATAGTAATAATAATAATTCATATAAAGTAATTAAATATGCTCTTCCTTGCATTTAAGTAAAAACAGTGTGAAAAAGATGCATTTGATTATTTTTAATCTAATTTTTACTGTATTTTACTACTTTCATTAAACATTTTGACTGTACTTAACTACAGTTTGGTTAAAATTACAAATACATGAATAGAAAAGTTACCAAAATATGTAATAATTTACTTATGTCGCTTCAAACCTGTATGACTTTCATTCTTGATTTTCACGTGAAGATACTGAGCGATAAAAAAAAGCTCTTATTCATGTAATGAGAGCGAATGAGGACCCAGAATGCCTGTCTTCATGCTCAGCTTTACAATCACATCTTCATGAATCAGCTGAAGACATTGAGAAATGGAGGAAGACTATGACCTGGTGGAAGGTCACGCTGATAGGACGCAGAGCTGACGTGATTCTGTGTGTGTGTGAAATTGATTTCCCTCCACTGGCTTCTGTCACAGACGACATTATAGTCAATCACGAGAGATTGGCAGAGCAAGCAAAGATACACCAGCGTCAGCACATTATCTACTTTCAGAAACAACACACACACACACGGTTTGAGGAGAGTGAACTACATGCGTGCTCTCCAGAATAACATACAAGCAAATGAGTGTAATTTCAGGCGGTGTTATGACATCTGAATAGGATCCCGGCGCGTCTCTGCGGCGCTCGTGTTTGGGGAGATTAAAACGGCCGCCCTCTGAGCGCAGATGCGCGGGTTAGTCCAAACACACTGCATAATTCATGAAATTATCCAACGTTTGAAGAAAAAGCTGTCTGCTGTGTGATACAGAATGCAGCCGTTTAGAAAACTCAAAACAAATCGCACACAGTCTCTTCTGCTCACCCAGGCTGATCAAAAACGCAGTAAAAATTGTGAAATATTATTGCAATTTAAAACAGCTGTTTTCTTTGTGAATATCTGTTAAAATGTAATTGATTTCTGTGATCAAAGCTGAATTTTCAGCATCATTAATGACACCAAGCTGCGGCAGATGGAAACACTGAAGAGGGACTTCAGGAGCCTGATCGAGACGGTGCGCAGCACATCGCCCGCAACGACGATCATCGTGTCAGGACCGCTTCCCACGTATCGACGAGGACACGAAAGGTTCAGTAGACTTTTTGCTTTAAATGAATGGTTATTGTCATGGTGTAAAGAACAGAAACTGCTCTTTGTTAATAATTGGAATCTTTTCTGGGAGCGTCCTAGGCTTTTTCGCCATGATGGCCTGCACCTAGGGCTGGGCGATATAGCTAAAAAATGTATTAACGATATAATGTTTCATATCCTTCGGTATCGATAATTATTGACATTTTTTATAACCTTTTTTAAAACAAAGAGCAATAGAAAATTGCCGTATTTTTAAATTAACCCAATTTATTGAGACAACCAACAAATATTTTTTGTTTTAACACAGTTAAACACAATAAAAATTAAACAAATATCTCATTTCTAATGTTTTATATGCAGATTAAATAGGTCTCAAGGAATATTTTGTCTTGTTTCCCGAGGCCACAGGAGGGCACAATGAGCAAAATAATGCAGCACATTTAAATTGTCAACGCAATGAAATAACTGTCTATTAAAAAACGTGCATTACGTCTAAATTAACTCATATAAATCAAATCAAATTTCGTAAATTGCATAAACAATTATGAACAAAACAGCATCATGTATTTATGCATTGCTTAATCTAAAGAGCCGAAGTGCCATTCACACAGATTGCATTTAAAAACATATGAAACGCAGTGAAAAGGAATAAACCTCCACAAATTTGCGACGTTTTTTCTAAGTTTAAACTGTTTTAAATTTGCATGGCTACATCTCGTGTGAGACGCGAGTGCAGGAGTCATATTTGTCTGTCTAAAAAATGCACTGAATATGCATCTGTGTGAATGGCTTGGTTTCGGTTTTCAACTAATCAAGATTTTCTCCGCACTGAACTTCTATATTTCTCTAATATTTTGAATGCATAACACAACAGCGTTGCATCTCGTGGGCTAGACTAACAAAACATTAAAATGCAACAACGTCACTTACATCATCACTGCATCTCGCGCGCCACTAATGACGCTCCCTAATGCACACCTAACATTTAAATGTAAATGTTTATTTTAAATTCGACTAATATTCATTCTTTATTCACAATCTCCTCATCACAGGCAGGCACAGCACTCATTTCAGCATGTGTTTGTGTTTGTGTGTGCTGTCTGCGTCACTCATAGCACGTGCCTATATCGTGCGTTATATCGAACATTTTTTCTATCGTTATCGAAGAAGGTGTACGGTCGATAAATATCGATACCGTTTTATCGCCCAGGCCTACCTGCACCCCAGCAGAGTTGGGGCGGAACTCCAGTCGGACAACATCTCCAGGACGCTACGCTCCATATGACTAGTAAGCCAATTCTCAAATAACTGCTATGATGACTTTTGTTCTACCCACTTAAATGATAGAAGTACTTGCGCTGTCCAATCTATAAAGACTGTGTCTGTTCCCCGAATAGTGAGGTCAAAATATACATTTAATTATTTTTCTCTTAGGACTTTTGGTAGTACCTAGGATAGCAAAGTCCACTAAAGGAGGTAGAGCTTTTTCGCATTTGGCTCCCAAACTCTGGAATAGCCTTCCTGATAACGTTCGGGGTTCAGACACACTCCCTCTGTTTAAATCTAGATTAAAGACACATCTCTTTGGCCAAGCATTCAAATAATGCATCTCATAATCTTGTACTGCAGTTATATCTGATCAAATGCACATTATTATTCTTTAGTTTGGGTTAAACAAATCAATTTTGCTTGGTTGGAACAGCAGCTACGCTAATTATGTCTCTATTTGTTTCTCTGTTTCTGTAACTAGGATTTACACAAGCTTCAGTCTGGATCCAGAACACCTGAGAAGAGATGATGCCAACCCCTCAGAGGACCTCAGATGATGCCAACCCTGAAACAACATACAGAACTACCACATTTTGCTATAAGTTTGATTGCATCATATAATAATTGCTGTTAATAGTTTTCATCGTCTGTTTGATTTCATCTTTAACTGAATTTTACCGTACATTTCTGCCATATGTACATTAACTGACAGTCACCACTAAATATATAAGATAAGCTACTACTAAATATATTGCAGAAAGTTAAAAGAACAGCATTTATTTGAAATATAAATCTTTGGTAATGTTATAAATGTCTTTACTGACACTTTTGATCAATTTAATGCATCCCTGCTGAATAAAAGTATTTCTACTGCAGCACATCTTAAAGGGTGAATCACTTATGACATATTTTGCCATTAATAAAAGTGATAAAAACGGTCAGCCATTGATTAAAGTGCCAGCAAAACGAGTGAATGTAAAACAAATAATCAACATATAATGGAAGTCTTCAGAGTAGGGAATTATTTTATTTAATTTTTTATCACAATGTGCTAATTTTGTGACTTTATATCTATGACTTTATGACTTGTGTTCAAATGAGACGAGAGTGATAAAACCACATGCTATGTAATTTTGGGAACACTTTAAAATAAGGTCCTATTAGTTAATGATGGTTAATTCATTAACTGATATTGACTAACAATGATAAATACATTTGTCACATCAGCTGTTCATTGTTAGTTCATGTCAGCTCAGATCCATTAAAAAAATATTAACAGATACAACTTTTGATTTTAATAATGTATTGGTAAAAGTTGAAATTAACATTAAAAACTAATGTTAACAAATTCAACCTTATTGTACAAATATTACTCTTTCATCTAATACACAGATGTGATGCAACTATCTGTAAAGAATTGTTTATATGGAGCAAAACAACAAGAATGACAAGAAACGCTAAACTAGAGCTGCTTAATCAAACTATAACAGACGTTCAGCCACTAAAAGCAGGACAAACTTTAGCACTTTCACAGAAATACACGCAATACTTGCCACTGGGATCATAACATGTGGATGAAAACGGTGCAATAAGGCAAAAACAATCACGTAAGAAGAGGAATGTGCTCCAGGATCATGATCACCACCAGTCCCACAAATTGGCATGAATGGGTCAAACTGTTCCATACAGATGGACTTATTACAGCGCAAACGACTCATGCAGTCAGATATCAGCACTTTAGCTGATGTTGAAACAAAATGAAGGTGTGCCGTGACTCTCAGCTCAGTTAAATTACAGATGCACCGCTGCGTCTGCGACCTTCATTATACCTGCAGTGTTTACACAGGATCTGATGAGTAACAGGCTGAAAAAAGGTGACTATAATAGCAGAACAAAAACAACAGGTAGCCGTAACACACAAAACTTACACAAAATATGATTTCTGCTGTATTATTGTAGTTTTTGTTTTGTTTTGTTTTTGATGTATTTAAAAAGCTTTTAAAGTATTTTGAAGTATTTCAAATGCTTTTCAAATGTAAAATGCAAGACGCTATAGGCAAAAGCATTGTTTTGTTTTTTTTCATGCATTGATCAGGGTTTTCATAACTTGTATTATTTCAGGCTAGTGGAAAGAAACCAACCAAAATGCACTTTTAAGTGTTGATTTTATTGCACTTATCCATTTCGTCTGTAGATTTAAGTTAAAGTATATATCTTTAAAGAGTTTTTTCTCCATTTCAGCAGCTCCTACACACAACAAAATTTACAGTTTTATTCCTATCTATATTCTGAAGGTTTTTACTGAAGGGTTTGTTCATATATAATTTGCTTGAATTTTATTACTGCACTTTATCTGTTTGCATCCGTAGATTTCAATTACAATACATATCTTTAATTTAATTTCTCAAAATGAGTTTCTCCACCACAGTAACACTTACATACACCAAAACTTAGTTTTATTCCTGTCTATATTCTGATGGCTTTTATAGAGAGTTTTGCTCATATAACATTCTGATTTTATGCAACATTTAATTCCCTTAAAACATGGACAAAATTTATTTGTTTTCTGTATGTTGACAGTATTTTCTGATTTATGAAGTGATAAAATGAGAAATCCAAAATCCCTTCTGTAAAAAACCTTTAAATCAAATATGGCAATAAAATAAAACAATTTTAAGCTGAACGTTCAGATTTCTGTTCTTGGAAGTTGATGCAAATTAGTGCTTATTTAAACAACATTTCAGTTATAAAATTTTTAAACAACGCATAATATAATAATCCTATTCACCTGTAGTGTCTTGCCTTAAAACACAAACCTGATGTGACTAGGATGTAATAAACAACAAGTAATTGTAAATTAAATGATGTTCCATAAGCCTTTAAATGAGGCTGCAACTTGAAGCTACATTGGACTAAAAACCCAAATGCAATAAGAAAACTGTCTGCGTCTGAGAGAGAGATGAGAGCGTGAAATAAATGTGCTGATCCAACCAACCAACAATCAAGAAATAAAACAAACCGCAGGAGGCTCGAAGCGTGAGAGAATTATTCTGAAGACAGATAAATGAAAAACAATCACGCCGCTTGCAGTCAAACAGCAGAATCGCTCTGAAAAGAAACACGTTTCAATCAATCCGGTGAAAGTGCACATCACAGACGAGAAAAACATTACTGAGCTATTGATCCATTTCAGGGCTCTACGTTCAGAATAGCATACTACTCTTATTTAATACACTATTGTCTGCAGTATGCAATATGCACAGTATGCACTTCTTCTACAAGCACAGAATACTAGTGTGCAATGTACATGAAACTGTGTAATCCTTTGATTAAAAACCAAATTAGTTTGGAGAAAAGAGGGTGAATTGGGGTGTAAATGGAGTTTCTCCTCGCGTCAGAGGACTGAAGATTGGTTAAAGTTCTCGCTCTCAGCGTCTGACTCACATCTTACAGGCCACAGCATTTCTGACAGAGAACACAATGTCTGCGCTCAGCTTTCATGTGCCCTAGTTTCAGCACAATCAAACCCAAGCACTCCACTCAGAACTACTAAAAATCCCAGATTAAAAACCACGAACAAGCAGACAACTGAACGAAGCTGCGTTAAACTCAGAAAACACGCACACACACAAAAACTGAGGAACATGTTAGTTCTGCCTTCACTATGCTATAGTATGGCGAAAAGTCCTGTGTGTGTATGTGTATGCACACACACATATATGTATATATTTTATAAAATAATTGTATATTATACATATGCATAACATTTATACCTTAAACATCTTACACTTATTTTGAAGATGTAGTGTTATCATATATAAATAAAAGAAATTGAAAAAAAAAAAACGTAAAAAACTTGATGTACTAAAATAACTGAAATAATTAATACAAACTATATTGACATTTAAAAATGACAACTACAACATCATCAACAACAAAAAAGCTAACTAATAAAAATGAAATATTAAATAATACTAAAATAAACTTTAAAATACTATATAAAACAATATAAAATATGTTAAAAGCTATAATTGTAAGTAATTAACCACTTAACATTTAAAACTTATTTCAGCTAGTTGTCAAACCAATTCACACTCACTTTAATTTAGTTTAACTTGATGTACTAAAATAACTGAAATTAAAATTAATAATAAAACATGTGAAATATTATTAAAACAACTACATCAACATCAACAACAACAAAACTAATCAAATTTTAAACAAAATGAAAATGAAAAATACAAAAATTAGAACTATTATAAAACAGACAGAGTACATGTACTACTAAATTGTTAATTACCTAGAATGCTGTGTGATCAACATATGCAAACAGCTAAACTCAACACTTAACTGTAAAACATGGAATCTGTGCTTAATGTTTCTATAAAACTAGTCAGTGACAGATTTACCGCGGTATAAACGGTAGCTTCCACACGCCCAGAGCGAAGGTGAAGACTATATTCAGCACACATTGATTTAAGCGCAAGCTGTTCTGTGATCGTACATTAATACGCTCTGCGGGAGGTTAATTCACATGTTAAAACTCAGCTGAACACAGATTGATTGGGCTCATTGGCTTGACACTGACAGAAGGTTAAAATGAAGGTCTCTCATGTTTACCGGCGGAATCTTCACTGGATGTTTACATGCACAATTTTAGCTTCAATCGGACTGAATTCATTCCGATTTATGAATCTGAATGTAGTGTTTACATGAACGCTAAATAAAGTGATCGGGTTAATGTGCGCATTTATATGTCACAAGCTTTTTTTTTTACACGCGCACATTGCACAAATATAGAGTTTCCCACTGTTTGCACATAATAACTATACTCTTACACGGTTTCTTTATTTGTTTTAAAGAGCAGAAAATGTATAAATTTCTGGATAAATATTACATATAGACTGCTGTGTTGCTTCTGCGCAGTCATTTCAGTTTCGGTTTTCAATCCGATCGAGTGTTTACATGCGCTCTCAATCGTATTAGAAAAGGAATAAACCACCCCTTTCAATCTATTTGAAATTTAGTTCGTATCGAGCTCAATCGAATCGATTAAGGCATTAAGGATTAATCAACACTGTAAGGGCCAGTTTTACTAACAGCTTGCGCCAGCACAAACCATCTTTTGGCGTTAAAACAGTACTGTCAGGATTTACTAAAGATGCACAGTGATGAATTAGCGCTGAAAAGGCGTGGACACAGTTATTTTTGCGCCTGACCTTATTGAATATGCATTTGTAGGAGTTTCCCTTTCAGACACAATTTATGGGAGGAGAGTATTCAAATGAATCCAACGCTATCTCACGGCCAATTCGTACATATTTTACGAGGTGGCTAATTCGTACGACCTCACTCGTACGATTTTGTACGACTTTTCTAGACACCAGTGACGGGTAGGTTTAGGGGCGGGGTTAGGTGTAGGTTATTCGTACAAATTCATACGAATTGTGCAACTCGTAAAATACGTATACGATTTAGCAAAAATTGTATGAATTTGTACGAGTGAGGTCGTACGAATTAGCCACCTCGTAAAATATGTACGAATTGCCGTGAGATCGTGTTGATGACTCACGCAACGTGTTTTACTAACGTTTGCACTCGTCAAATTACTAGTATTTGCGGCATTATTTAACGTCCAAGCAGGCCCTGCAGAAAATACGTTTTTTTTCCACACGTATGAATTTATTTTGAATGCCAGAAAGAACACATTATCCGAACATATATTGTTTGCCAAGACATGTTATTTTTAATTCAAACTTTCATTTTTTTTGTCCTCAGGTTCTTTTCAAAGTACTGTGGCTTCTTTATTTCTTTATTCTTTTTTTGCGACTACACTAAGTTGTGCTGCACTTGGTATATTGCGTTGGTCAATATGTAAATGAGATGTTGCGTCTGTTCTCTTTAATTTGCGTGTTGTTAGTAAAACACCCACAGAAATTTCCCCTCCCATCAGCGCTGTTTTGGAATTGCGCTATCGCAGTAATTTGCCCTGTTTAGTAAAACTGGCCCCAAGTGTCATAAACCAGAGAACAACCTGGAGTAAAGCTGGATGGGTCGTACCTCAGCATGGGTGATCTGGCGGGGTGAGGCGGCGCGTGGTCTCCGTTCTGCGGCTGCTGTGGTTTTTTGGTCACCTGTTTGTAGATGTTTCGTGCCGTGACGCCCAACCAGAGCATCGTGGACAGAGACGAGTAATGCAAGACAATACCGACCTGAAACACACACACAAAACACACAGTTCAGTGTTTAAAGTGCAACACACACTGATACAAATCCAGAAAAAACACTGACAGAAAGTACTGTTTCAGCAGCATCTTCGACCATGTAAATACCATGGTAAAATATATGGTAAAATATTTAGGGTCAGTAGGATTTATCAAGAGCGTAAAAATTTATCAAAAGTGAGAGTCAAGACATTTATAATGTTACAAAATATTTCTATTTCAAATAAATGCTGTTCTTTTAAGCTTTCTATCCATCTGTGAATCCTGAAAAATAAAATGTATCCTGTTTCCACTGAAATATTGGGCAGCACAACTGTTTTCAACATTGATAATAATCAGAAATGTTTCTTGAGCAGCACATCAGCATATTAGAATGATTTCTGAAGATCATGTGACACTGAAGACTGGAGTAATGATGCTGAAAATTCTGCTTTGATTATGGGTGGGCGATATGACCGAAATCTTGTATCACGATATGACTAATTTTATATCACGATAACGATATATATCACAATATAGTTTTTTTCTTTTAAAAAGGTTTTTATGATATTAAAATCTTTGATACCATATAATTTTCATAATCCTTGTCACCAATGTCAATATCAAACTAATACAAGCTTAAAAAGAGAGAGAAAAAAAAAACTCAAGCTCACTGAAGATAAATAAACAGTCAGTGATGAAATAAGGATACGAAACTAACTGCAAGCAATAGGACAAAAAACAATAAATAAGAAAGCTACATACATGGTGAAAATTAATTAGTCTTCATTGTGTTAATTATATCTATCTATCTATCTATCTATCTATCTATCGATAGATCGATAGACGGACGGACGGATAGACAGACAGACGGATAGATGGATGGATAGACGGATAGACGGATGGATAGATGGATAGACGGACAGACAGACAGATAGATAGACGGATGGATTGATGGATAGATGGACAGACAGACAGATAGATAGACAGATGGACAGACGGACAGACAGATTATTTTTTTGATTTCTTCTTATTAAAGTTACAAAAGTGATTTAGTCAAGAGCAGTGAGAGATTTTCTCTCACTCTTGTTTGATTAATATGAATGGCAGACAGGACGAACATTGGACAGCTTCCCCTTTAAGACCGAAGTCTGGATCCAATATACTGTTACAAACGTTTTTTCTTTTTCAGCTGTTCTCCACCTGGTTCTGTCTCCCCTTCACGGTGGTGGCGTCTAAAGATCGCAGTCATCCAAATGATGAAAAAATATTACCGTAAACAATGTAGTTTGCGACACCACGAAATAAACGATAGAGCATAATATGAAATTATAGACTTTTTATTTCGTCCATCCGATATATATTGTCATATCACACAGCCCTAGCTTTGATCACAGAAATCAATTACATTTGAACAGATATTCACATAGAAAACAGCTGTTTTAAATTGTAATAATATTTTTCAATTTTTACTGTATTTTTGATCAAATAAATACAACCTCGGTAAGCAGAAGAGACTTCTTTTAAAAACATTGAAATGCAAACCTGTGAACAGTAGTGTATATATAATACACGTGTATAACAAAACTTGATGACAGCTAATAAAAAACACAATTGCCTCTTTAACAGCATTGTTCGGTGATAATTTTGCTTTTGGTTGGCATCTATCAAATCGCACACATGAAAAATATCAAGCATCATGTGAGCAAATGTGACCAAATATTACTGATGTCGAACCTGATGGATCTAATGAAAAATGTGACAAGTTTCTGAAATAAAATGAACACATATTTTACCCAATATGCATCTAAATTGTAAAAAAAAAAACTGAAAATTGTGCATTATTGAATACATTTATGTGCCACTTCTTGTCCAAGTATGTGCAGTTAACAACTGATTATGTCAATAATCCCAAATGGTCATGTGTTCATGTGGTCATCAGGCTTTTATGGCTCATATAGTCTGATAAAGTGAGAAAATGGAGGAAAAAGCAGCTACATTTTATTCAGACTAAAATATGAATTTGCTGCAGATCCTGATACTAATGATGAAATTCTGCTGCTTGTAATGTAAATCAATGAGATCTTTATAACAGTAGAGCATATACTGTCATAAAATGATCTAAATATTTTTTTAAATTTTCACTCTATATCTCCAATAATATATCTTCGTAAGATGAGTTTGAAATGATCCAAACATATAATGCAGTGATTGAGAGCTGAAGAAATAAAGGCTCCTCAGAAGATGTGAGATGTTCTGGAGGCTTGTGAAGATCATTCCTCCGCTGAGGAACAGTGAAAGTAAAGCTTCTGGAAACAAACGCTCCTCAAAAGATCCTGAGGATCAGATTTGAGACTCTAAAACATGATTGATGGAGAATCAAGTAAAGCTGAGCTGCTTCAGTCCAGTAAGTGTTCATCTGGAGATATTACTGCAGTTATTCTGACGCTTACTTGATCAAAATCAGTCAAGATTTGACACGAGAAGCAGCAGCTGAAGCTGGACGCTTGTACAATTACACTAAAAGAGCTTTTACTGGATAAAACACTCTAAACTATCACTCAGACGACAGAAAACATGCAGGAGATTGAGAGTGAGACAGCTTTAACAGCAAACTTTGAATCATTTAGAGCCTTAAAAATGTGCATATTAAATATGAATCAGTATTTATGTGGTTAATCAGCCAGGCCGATATCAGTTCTGTAAGGAAACACAGATAAATGTTAAGCACACTCAGCTGAACATAACACTAAATACGCTTTCTGTCTCCGCTGTCGCATTGTGCTTATTTTATTCATCTGTAATCTAAATTAAATGCTGCGCTGTCAAATATTCAGCAGGAATCCCGGCTAAATATAATTTCTCTCATCCACTTACGAGTCGCTGTGTTTGCAGAGACAGCGAATAGAATAATCAGATTCTCTCGGCGTTTGTCTGGGGCTGTGAACACAACATATGTTCACAAACACTCAGGAGAGAGAGAACAATAACTCGGATCCATATCATCAGGAGAGAATGAGTGAGTGACAGCAGATTCCCATTACACAGATTACACTTTCCTGTGCCATCCATCACTCGGCCGAGGCCAATCAGAGCCGGCCCTCTGAGATCAAACGCATGAAGACGAATGCATATAAATCTGAGAACGACCTTGAGCGGCGACACTGAAAATCCCTGACGAACCCAGAGCTTAACAACATGTTCAAACCAGCACAACGTGAGCGATCAAGTGGAAGTCGGAGTTTGTGTCCTGAGCAGCGATGACCTTGAGGAGCAACGGGACATTTAGTCTTTATTTCACTGTGAAATCACACTAGCCAAAAACCCTGCTTGATTTTAGAGCTAATAAAATTATGCAGGATGACTTACTGTTAGAATACAGTTATATGTCCAAAAATTTGAGATATGAGGGCAAAAATGCCCCTGTATGGGGTTTTGTCTTATATTTATACCATATAATATAGTTTAGCAATATCACAAAAGCAAAAGTGCAGTTTTTCCCCAAATAACTGCATTACTGCAAATGTGAAATTGATTTTATACAGCAGTTCAATAAACAAGAAGTTAATCTTGCGTTATAGTTTAGACACAATATTGTCAAATTGTGCACAATTCTGCAAACGAGCGACACACAGCAGTGATTCATCATTGAATGAATCCAAGTTCTTGAGCAAACTGAGCGAGTCAATGATTCAGTTTGATTCATTTGTGAATGAATCAGCCATTTGAACAAATCAGTTGAATGAATGATTCATTGACTCACTCATTAAGACCTACTGGCAGTGTAATTTCATATATATATATATATATATATATATATATATATATATATGTTAGGGCTGGACAATAATTCAATATCAATACATATCGCGATATAATTTTTTTCAATAATGGTGATATGATTTTTAAACGCATTTCCGATATTTCAATATACATTACCATTGTTTCCCATACATTGATTTATTTGTGGCGTTTGACTTCGCTGAATAAACATGAGAAATGCACGTTTCAAAATCAAAACGCGTCGCGGGTGTTTTATATGAATGTATCTCCGAAGGGAACCGACTGTCTTCAGAAAAATTTCGATGGCGTTTTCATTTGATCTGATAAAGTAGCGTTCAGGAGCTGCTTTGATTACAGCTGTTACCAGGGAAACCACTGTTACTACCGCTCCAGAAGCGCCTCCTGCTGGCAGACAATCAGTTTGCATTTTCAATAATAAGCCGTTGTTGCTCATTTTTTTTTCTGTTTTCTACAGCAATTCAGAGCACTTTTCATATTCTTTATCCTGGCTGAAGCACTTTTGTTTCAATCTATAAGAATAATCCTCCTACACTAGCAACCAAAGGTTTTTGAACAGTAAGATTTTTAATGTTTTTTTTAAAGAAGTCTCTTCTGTTCACCAAGCCTTCATTTATTTGATCCAAAATACAGCAAAAACAGTAAAATTGTGAAATATTTTTACTATTTAAAATATCTGTTTTCTATGTGAATATATTTTAAAATATAATTTATTCCTGTGATTTCAAAGCTGAATTTTGAGCTATTATGTTGAAAACAGCTGAGTAGAATTTGTTTAGGTTTTTTTGATGAATAGAAAGTTCAAAAGAACAGCGTTTATCTGAAATTGAAATCTTTTGTAACAATTATAAATGTCTTTATTATCACTTTTGAACAATTTAAAGTATCCTTGCTGAATAAAAGTATTAATTTCTATAATCAAGGGTGTCAAAAATACGGCCAGAGGGCTGATTTGTATATTAAATAATAAACAATCCATTATTTTGAAAATTAAATCAAGTATTATTTTTTTATGTTAAGGCTAATAACTAATAGATGCATATAATCCTGTTTTTCATGTCAAATTGCATTCAAACTAAATCCAATAATTTATAAGACACTGACGATTCAATGTTTAAACATTGGCACTCTCAAAAACATGCAAGCGTTATATAATGTTATAGAACGGTTAGTTGGTCACATGCGTATGTATAACTCAGGGTTTTGTTTTATAAATTTTATAAATACGCATTGAGGTAGCAAAAAGGATAAACAATTCTAATTCACACTCAAGGAATAGAATTAGAAAGTAATAAAATTCAAGTGTAATTTACAATGCTACTATTCAATTCAATGCTACTATTCGAATTTACAATACTATTTCAATTTTGGTTTCTTTGGCTCTCATTTATTCACTTGACCTGAATGTGGTTCAAAATCCAAAGAGATGCATGTGAATCCTGCAGTGTTCAGAGCCAAATAAAGCACATTATACTGATAAACAAACCGCTGCACTTATAGAAACGCACAGCGTCCCACCGAGCCACGCTTTAACATCATCTGCTTTATCTTTAGTTCATAATGTGGGACGAAATGCAGTCGGGCAACACAACGGCCGATGCTTTTTAGTGATGCTCACAAGAACAGAGCCTCAAAAACACACACATTTCCACAAAAGCACCACTGAAAGCCCCTGAAGGCACGACAGCATCTTAAGTGCAAATGTGTGATGCTCTGTACGGATTCATTCAAGTCTATACAGCATTTTCATTAAGGTCAGAAATCGTACGCATGAGGCAATCACAAAAACATGCACACACCGAATTATAATGAATAATCGATTTAATGCATTGAATTTAATGCAGATGAAAGACTCACGGCCTGGCAGATGATGGGGTATTTGATTCGGTTGATGCCTCCGGCGAAGACAGCGAACGTCAGGGCCGTGTGGAAGCAGAAGTTGAGAAGCATGTGCCATCCTTTCCGACTGATCCGGATTGTGCTGGAAAAAACCGACACACACAACATACGGTCAACGTGTGTGAAGAGGGTTAAATCCCTAAATGTGCCTCTGAGTACATGAGAGAGAAGAACAGCTCATCATAACACACAACAGAGCAGAAACACTGCAGCAAAAAAACAATGACAAAAAACAGGTCATAGAGTCATAGACATATTATCAAAAACAGTCTGGAAAAGTATATATTTTGAAATAACTATATTTTATATTATTATTATAATATTTATTATATATTATTTTCTTCAAATTAAAATAATATTAAATAACAAAACATGAACAAAATATTTTTTATTTAATATTTTATCAATTAACAATTAATCTCCGCACACCTGACGGCAATCGATAGGTGCGTAGGAGACAAAGACCAAAAAAGGTCCAAAATGAAAAACAAAAACCTTTTTAAATACATCATAAAATACGTATTCTATTTTTTTTAAATATATAAAATAAAAACATTAAATTAAAAAAATATATTTTATTTAATAGTAGTATAGGTTTACTTTACTGTTTACATATTTAGTAAAAATATATAATAAAATACAAAATAAAAATATAACAGTAAATAAAATATATCAGTAACTTTTTATATTTTAATATTAAGATTTTACTTTTAATAATAAAATATAAGATTATATAAAAATCTATAAGAATTTTTTATGTAATAATTTAATGTATGCATATGTTTATACATATATTTAAAAGAGAGATTTAATAAAATAGATTATAAACATTTAATTTTATGAAATAAACAAAAATATACAACAGTAAATAAAATACAAACAAAATTCTATTTTATATATTAAATAGTGCAGAATATATAGAACATGTTTATTTCATTTTAAAATAAAATATACATTAAAATATTCAAATATAACATTAAATAAAATAGCACAACAGCTTCTTATTTTTGGTGCCGTTACATAAGTTTTACCTTTTAGACAAACCCCTGTGACGAGACTCGACCCAAACTATCAAAATTTACAACATGAAATCACCTGCTTTCTTTTGCCTGTTTGCTCTCAGAGCGAATAAAACCAGACTATGAAGGTAAATTCAGTATGAACACATAGCCTAATGGTACACAACTTATAAAATATCATGTTTTAATTAAGTTGTTATTTTTATTTTTTATTTTTTACTGTATGTGTACATTAAAAGTACCATTCCAACAGCAAGAATGATCCTGAACTAAATGAAGATTAATGTCTTGGGTATGATGTGTTTATTGGACCAATCAGATAAGAGTAAATTGAGAGTCAGCGAGAGGCTAATTTGATTGGCTACAAGAAGAAGGTGGCCCCGCCCTCCCCCTCACGCTTGCAAAACTCAGTTAGTGAGAGAATCGTG